GATTACAAGCCTGCACCACTATTGCCCAGCTAATTTTTTTGTATTTTTAGTAGAGACGAGTTTCACCATGTTGGCCAGGCTGGTCTTGAATTCCTGACCTCAAATGATCCACCTACCTTGGCCTCCCAAAGTGCTGGGATTACAAGCGTGAGCCACCGTGCCCTGCCAGTATACTTTTTCAATATGTAGTTTTTAAATCTTTTTTTCTTTTCAGGAAAGTGGTTTGTTTTTAAATTTAAAAAATCTTTTAATCTTTTATTTACTTGAAGACATTATTGGTTGAATTTTTTACTCATTTCTTCTTGCTTAATCTTTTCTGACATGATTTTATCTTCATTTCTAATTCTTTCATGAGGTTTTTCATATCATTTGTATGTTATTCTAATTATGCTTTGCTCTTTTATGTCTTATATCACTTTTTTTTTTTTTTTTTTTTGTGATGGAATCTCACTCCTTTGCCCTGGCTGGAGTGCAGTAGTGCAATCTGGGCTCACCGCAACCTCCGCCTCCCAGGTTCAAGTGAATCTCCTGCCTCAGCCTCCTAAGTAGCTGGGATTACAGGCACCTGCCACCATGCCCAGCTTTTTCTTTTTTTTTTTTTTTTTTTTGTATTTTTAATAGAGATAGGGTTTCACGAAGTTGGCCAAGCTGGTTTCAAACTACTGACCCCAAGCGATCCACCTACCTCTGCCTCCCAAAGTTCTAGGATTACATGTGTGAGCCACTGCACCTGGCCTCAGATCACTTTGTAACTATCATTTAGCTCATTTTGAAATAGTGGCTAACAACATTGATCTGTTTTGTAGGCACTTTTTTTTTTTTTTTGCATCCTTTCATTGTTTGTAGGTCTGTATTCTCATTTTTAAAGCAGAAATGCTGTGTGAGATTCTACCTTCATATTTTCTGTCCTACATTTTTATGTAAAATTCTGGAACTCTTAGAATGACATAAGGTGCAGGAAAGTTTTTGAAATTCCAAAGAGCTTTCTCTTCTGTTGTGTTGGTGTAGTGTTTACAAATATGGCAGCTTGCTTTCTAAGGTTTGCTGGCTGTGTTCCCCATCCCACTTTGTTTTAGACCCACTCTATCTCCGTTGTCACTAACTACTTCAGTTTTGATTCCGCTCTTTACAGTTTCTCTTCAGTGTGAGACTTTGTTCTAGAAGATCAGATTTGAGAGTTTATGGTAGCTGGATAGTTCAGCCCTTTCAATCCTTCTTACCGTAGGCGTTTTGTATTCATTCAGTATTAGAGAAAACAAATCCCTCCCAGTTTCAGCTGCTATTCCCATTGGTTCTCTGTGCTTTCCAAACTATTGGGTATTTTGTGGTTCTCCTTTTCTCAGCCTGGAGTATGCCCTGTTGCTTTCTTTCTTTTTTTTTTTTTTTTGAGACGGAGTTTCGATTGTTACCCAGGCTGGAGTGCAATGGCGCGATCTCGGCTCACCGCAACCTCCGCCTCCCGGGTTCAGGCAATTCTCCTGCCTCAGCCTCCTGAGTAGCTCGGATTACAGGCACGCGCCACCATGCCCAGCTAATTTTTTTTTTGGATTTTTTAGTAGAGACGGGGTTTCACCATGTTGACCAGGATGGTCTCGATCTCTTGACCTCGTGATCCACCCGCCTCAGCCTCCCAAAGTGCTGGGATTACAGGCTTGAGCCACCGCGCCCGGCTGTTGCTTTCTTCTTCTTCCTGCATGGAAAACCATACCAGGTCTCCAGCTGTTGGTGGTTTGACACCACAACCTGCACTTGCAGGGAGAGGATATCTTGGGGGTCACCTTGTCACTTAGTTTTGTTGTAGAGTTGTCCGTAGGTTTTTTTTCCCACTATTGTTGCTCTATTATTTTTCATGTGGGGATTCAAACAGATTAAAAACCTATGCTGTCCTCTTTGCATTCTTCCCAGAGTACCTCTAAGTCAACAGCATTTTGATCCTGTAGCTACTCATTTAGAGAAGTTTCTTTTTTTGTATACAAATCATTTTCTTTTTTACTTTTTATTATAACGACAGAAAGTTGTAAATAAATGTACACAGAAGTCCCATGCATCCTTCACTTACTCTTCTAATGTTGACAACTTGTATAACTATAGCATAATGTCAAAACCAGGAAATTGACATTGGTACAATCCATATAACTTATGCAAATTTCACTAGCTATGCACACGTTTGTGTGTGTGTGTGTGTGTGTGTGCTGTGCAATTTTGTCACATCCATAGCTTTGTGTAACTGTCACAAAGTACAGAACTGGTCTATAGTCAGAAGCTCCCTCACACCTAACTCTGATAGCCACTTCCCCACTCTCTAACCCATGGGAACCACTATCTGCTCTCCATCTCTATGACTGTGTTATTTAAAGAAGGCGATATAAATATATTTATATTTATATGATTATATTTTTATTTAGATAATTATAAAATTCCTTTTGAGATTGGACTTTTTAAACTCAGTATAGTTCTATTGAATATGCCAAGTTGTGTGTATCAAGCCTATACGTTCATGTGCAGGCTTTTGCAATGAACACAGGTTGTAATTTCTCTAGGATAATTGCCTAAGAGTGCAATCACTGGGTCATATGGTAGATGTATTTTTGGTCTTAGATTCTTCTAAAACTATTTGGCAAACTATTTTTCAAAGTGGGTGCACCATTTTTTATTCTCATCAGCAATGTATGAATGATCCCGCTTCTCTGCTTCCTCTTCAACATTTGGTGTTAATACTATTTTAAAATTTTAGACATTCTGATAGATATGTATTAATACTGCATTGTGGCTTAAGTTTGTCTTTACCTAATGGCTAAAGATGTTGAACATATTTTCATGTACTTATTTGCCATTTGTATATCTTCTGAGATCAGATGAGATTGGGTATGTTCAGGGCATTACAGCCATAGACATCATTTGTATATCCTTCTCAGTGAAATGTCTTTGATGTAGTCTTGTTTCTTTTTCTCTTTGCTTTGCTTTATTTCTTTTTCTTTCTTTCTTTCTTTATTTTTTTTTTGAGATGGGGTCTTTACTATTACTCAGGCTGGAATAAAGTGGCATGATCACAGTTCACTGTGGCCTCAACCTCCTGAGCTCAAGCGATCCTCCTACCTCAGCCTCCTGAGTAGCTGGGACTACAGCTGCATGCCACCATGCCTGGCTAGTATTTTTAAAAAGGATTTGTAGAGACAGGGTCTTCCTATGTTGCCTAGGCTTATCTCAAACTCCTGGGCCCAAGCGATCCTCTCATCTTGGCCTCCCAAAGTGCTGGGATTACAGGTGTGAGCCACCATAGATGGCCTTTGTTTTCTAATTGGATTGTTTGTTCTTTGAATGTTGAATTTTGAGAGTTTTAAAATATATATATTCTAGTTACTAGTCCTATGTTGGATACATGATTTGTGAACATTTTCTCCCAGTCTTTATCTTACTTATTCATCCTCTTAACAGGATCATTCATAGAGCAAAAGTTTTTAATTTGATGATGTATAATTTATCAATTTTTCCTTTTATAGATTATGCATTTGGTGTCAAGTCTAAGAAACTCTTCCCCAGCTCTTGATCTCAAAGATTTTTCTGCTATGCATTTTTTTTCCTAAAAGTTTTATGGTTTACAGTTTATATTTAAGTCTGTGATCCATTTTGAGTTCATTTTTGTGTAGTGTCCCTTTTTTATTTTTTATTGTTTTTGAGATGGAGTTTTGCTCTATTGCTCAGGCTGGAGTGCAGTGGCACAGTCTCAGCTCATTGCAACCTCTGCCTCCTGGGTTCAATCGACTCTCCTGCCTCAACCTCCTGAATAGCTGGGATTATATGCTCCTACCACCACGCCTGGCTAATTTTTGTATTTTTAGTAGAGATGGGGTTTCACCATGTTAATCAGGCTTGTCTTGAACTCCTGACCTCGTGATCTGCCCACCTTGGCCTCCCAAAATGCTGGGATTGCAGGCGTGAGCTACCGTGCCTGGCCCTTTTTTAATTTTTTGAGATAGAGTCTTGCTGTTTTGCCCAGGCTGGAGTGCAGCGGCATAATCACGGCTCACTGTAGTCTCATTCTCCTGGGCTCAAGTGATGCTCTTACCTTGGCCTTCCAAAGTGCTGGGATTATAGGCATGAGCCACTGCATCCAGCCAAAGATTCATTTTTTTTTTTTTTTTTTTAGACAGAGTCTTACTCTGTCACCCAGACTAGAGTACAGTGGTGCAGTCTTGGCTCACTGTAACGTCTGACTCCTAGGATCAAGTGATTCTCCTGCTTCAGCCTGCTGAGTAGCTGGGACTACAGTCACCTGCTACCATACCCAGCTAATTTTTATATTTTTAGTAGAGATGGGGTTTCACTATGTTGGCCAGGCTGGTCTTGAACTCCTGACCTTGTGATCCGCCTGCCTCGGCCTCCCAAAGTGCTGGGATTACAGATGTGAGCCACTGCGCTTGGCCAAACGCTCATTTTTTAAACTGTGGATGTTCATTTGCTCCAACACCATTTATTGAAAGGCTATCCTCCATTGAATTGCTTTTGTACTCTTTCAAAATTCAGCTAGAAATATATATGTGGGTCTATTTCTTGATTCTCTTGCTGGGGCAGTTAATCTGTAGTCTATTCAGGCCTTCAAATAATTGAATGAGGCCCATGCACAGTATGGAGGGAAATCTGCTTTACTAAAATTCCACCTATTTAAATGTAAATCTCATCAAAAACACCCTCATAGAAATATCCAGAATTAATGTTTGACCAAATATCTGGGCACCATGGCCCAGCCAAGTTGACATATAAAATTAATTAACACCCTGTATTGTATTTTATTTTGTCACCTATTTTATTTTGAGAAGTTTCCTTTGTCATTAAATCCTATGATTTTTGATGATTGCATAGAATTCTATTATATAAATATATCGTAATGTATTAGTTTGATCTCCAGTTGTACTTTTAAGATGTTTCCACACCTTACAAGTTTTTGCTATTTTAAATAATGTTATAAGAACAAACATTCTTTTTTTTTTATTGCATTTTAGGTTTTGGGATACATGTGAAGAGCACGCAAGATTGTTGCAAAGGTACACACATGGCAGTGTAGTTTGCTGCCTTCCTCCCCTTAACTTACGTCTGACATTTCTCCCCATGCTATCTCTCCCCACCTCCCCACCCCACCGTCCCTCCCCCATCTCCCCCCAACAGACCCCAGTGTGTAGTGCTCCCCTCCCCGTGTCCATGTGTTCTCATTGTTCAACACCCACCTATGAGTGAGAATATGCAGTGTTTGATTTTCTGCTCTTGTGTCAGTTTGCTGAGAATGATGGTTTCCAGGTTCATCCATGTCCCTAAAAAGGACACAAACTCATCGTTTTTGATGGCTGCATAATATTCCATGGTGTATATGTACCACATTTTCCCTGTGCAGTCTATCATCGATGGGCATTTGGATTGGTTCCAGATCTTTGCTATTGTAAATAGTGCTGCTATGAACATTTGTGTGCACGTGTCCTTATAGTAGAACGATTTATAATCCTTTGGATATATACCCAGTAATGGGATTGCTGGGTCAAATGGAATTTCTATTTCTAGGTCCTTGAGGAATTTCCACACTGTCTTCCACAATGGCTGAACTAATTTACACTCCCACCAACAGTGTAAAAGTGTTCCTATTTCTCCACATCCTCTCCAGAATCTGTTGTCTCCAGATTTTTTAATGATCACCATTCTAACTGGTGTGAGATGGTATCTCAATGTAGTTTTGATTTGCATTTCTCTAATGACCAGTGATGATGAGCATTTTTTCATATGTTTGTTGGCCTCCTGTATGTCTTATTTTGTAAAGTGTCTAAGAACAAACATTCTTGTATGTACCTCTTATTATCTACGTAAAAAATAGAAGAGAAATTTCTGGGTCAAAGAAAGCGATTTTTTTTTTTTTTGAGATGGCATTTCATTCTTGTTGGCTGGAATGCAATGGCACAATCTTGGCTCATTATAACCTCTGCCTCTGGATTCAAGCTATTCTCCAGCCTCAGCCTCCCGAGTAGCTGGGATTACAGGCATGTGCCACCATGCCCCACTCATTTTGTATTTTTAGTAGAGACTAGTTTTCTCCATGTTGGTCAGGCTGATCTCGAACTTCTGACCTCAGGTGATCCACCCGCCTCAGCCTCCCAAAGTGCTGGGATGACAGACATGAGCCACTGTGCCCTGCTGCAAAAAATTTTTAAAGCTTTTAAATGCATCTCGCCATATGTCTTTCCATAAAGATCTTGTTCCCACTAATAACACGTGACATCTGATCCTCAGAAAAGATTGCTGTGGAGTTTCATTAAAGTTTTTTTGTTTTAATAGTCTGAAAACTTCACATTACTTTTGACTCAAACTTAGTCTTTGCAATTTATTTTCCTAAATGTTGTGTCAGTTTTGTTTATGTGTATCATGACCCACTCCTTTACTGTAAATTGCAACATTTTGTCCCTTTCAAATATGAAGCACTCAGAACTCTCAATTCCCCCAGTTCTTGTTTGGATCATTTCTTATGGAGAGGTTTGTAGACTCAACAGAAGTGCTAAGGCATTACCTTTAGATTCTGTGACATTGCAGTTAATAACTGAAAGGAAGCCTTTTCTGAAGTATAGCACACTGATGAACTGGACTGATAAAGTTTTTTGCGTAGCAATAAATTTTAGCAGTAGTAGCTCATCCGTTTTAGAATAATTGGTGCCTAGGGATTAAAGAGACTTTGAAGGTCAACCAATTAATAACACTTCTGGAAACAAACCTGCACAGAGTTCATCTTTGGCAAATGAGAATCAAGGCTATGTTTGAAGGTCTCTTGTGGAAGAGATGATATATTGGCTCTTCAGAACCTCTTCCAATGTCTAACAACTATTATGAAGCCCACCTAGTATTAGCCCAAATCTGAAGAATTTAATGATGCTTAATGCCAAGGTAACTGGATAGTTATATAACCAATATTTTGTAGGCAAACCTCTGAAAACATACCTTTCTTTGTTTCCTTTTTTTTTTTTAACACCAGTAGTGGTATATTTTAAAACAGTTCTAATAATACATGCTTCATGGCTTTTTAGAATAAAAAAATAATGGTGATATAGCCTCAGAGACATGCTTTAGGACACTTGGTTAAAAAAGATGTGTCTTTCATGACCACCTCAAAAGAGTGGCAAACTTCACAATATACCTTGATAACATACATGAAAGTGGATGATTATACTATGACATGTTGCCACTAAAAAAAGAGTCTGACAAGCTGGGCGCGGTGGCTCACGCCTGTCATCCCAGCACTTTGGGAGGCCGAGGCGGGTGGATCACGAGGTCAAGAGATCGAGACCATCCTGGTCAACATGGTGAAACCCTGTCTCTACTAAAAATACAAAACATTAGCTGGGCATGGTGATGCGTGCCTGTAATCCCAGCTACTCGGGAGGCTGAGGCAGGAGAATTGCCTGAACCCAGGAGGCGGAGGTTGCGGTGAGCCGAGATTGCACCATTGCACTCCAGCCTGGGTAACAAGAGCAAAACTCTGTCTCAAAAAAAAAAAGAATCTGACAATCGGGTCGTTCAGTAGAATGTAGCACACAGTTTCAAGTATTTAAGTACTGCTTTCTGGGAAGTAAAAACTGACTCAAAACCATTGATGTATTGTGACTATTAAAAAATGATGTAGCACTTTAGCTCTTCTGGACATAGCATTTCTTTTATGGATTCAATCAAGCTTGAAATCAGGATGAGGAATGATGCTTCCCCTTAACTGTTAAGGAAAAAAAAATAATAAGTTACTGCTGCAACAGGGACATGGTACTGAGAGAATGAAATAAATAAAGAAAAAATTCAGTGGGCATGGTGGCTCATGCCTATAATCCCAACACTTTGGGAGGCCGAGGTTGAAGGATTGCTTGAGCTCAAGAGTTCAAGACCAGCCTGGGCAACATAGTAAGACCTTGTCTCTATAAAAGTAAATTAATAAATAAAGGGAAAATCATTTTCTCATCATTGCATAATCGCCTAAGAGAAGGGCACTGAGAAGCCACTTGACAACCCAGCGATCATTTTCACTCATTACCTGGGCGTCCTTGATGTCCAGTCACTTTGTGAGAATACACACAGCACAAGCTTCCTGTTCTCTAAGAGAAGGTATTTCTTTCACATTCAGCATGATAAGAAAATGCCTACTCAAAGTCTCAGCTCAGAAACTGCAGCTGTCACAGTCTCTCTTAGCAGCTTTTTGCACACATCCTGTAGGCTCAAAAAGGTGCAGATCCCTTCAGAATGTGTCCCCAGCAGCAGCTCCTCAAGGCAGGGGCCCAGGGTCCCCCCTTGCTAGTGAAGGCAGGTGGCTGGCCTTCAAAAGTGGGCTGGGGACTCCTCTTAGGCCAGGCCTCCCAAGACAGCCCAGAAGGGCATTTCTCCCAGTGCTGAGAGACTTGACACTTTCTGCTACTGCTTTTCTGCTGCCCCCCATGCTTGTTATAAGAACCTTAGCACAGGCAGAGTAGGGAGCTATCTTTTCCTCATATTTTTAAAGAAGAAGTAGGCTTAACTAGGGAAAAGGAGTTGGAAGTCTCACTTTCTATAATTTAGTCCAAATCCTTTTTCTTTCTGGGGTATCTTTACATCTTACTGTTTTGGGAGAATTTTTGGCCAAAGATTTGAAGAGTTCCCTTTCCTTTCAGTATTAGGAGGTACCCCAGGATCACCCTTAGGTTAAAAAGGACTCACAAGGCTTAGCGTATAGTTGTACTCATGGCTACAATTTATTATAGTGCAAGGATACAAAGCAAAACAAATAAAGAGAAAAGTCTGGAGGAAATCCGGCTCAAGTTTCTAAGAGTCCTCTCCCAGTGGAGTTACAAAGTACATTCCTAATTCCTCCAGCAGTGAGTTGTAACACATGCGCGAGGCAAATGTTTATTATGGAGGCTCAATAGAGACTCGGTACTCCAGATATTTACTGGGTGCTGGTCATGTAGGCACACTCTGCCTGCCACATACCCAAATTCTGAATTTGCAGAAGAAAGTCAGTTGTTCAGCATAAACCACATTGGTCATGCAAACAGTTTGCAGGCGTCCCCAAACTTTTTACACAGGGGACCAGTTCACCGTCCCTCAGACCGTTGGAGGGCCGCCACATACTGTGCTCCTCTCACTGACCACCAATGAAAGAGGTGCCCCTTCCTGAAGTGCGGCGGGGGCGGATAAATGGCCTCAGGGGGCCGCAGTTTGGGGACGCCTGGTTTAGAGCACTGTTACAATTTAAGAAAAATTTTATACCACTGCAGGAACGATTTACCAGCCAAGTTCCAGATGCCAGCTCAGGGCCAACCTTGCAAGCAGGTCTTTCTGTGGGTCGGCAGTTTCAGGCCTGCTATATTAACCATTTTCTGTATAGCTGATCTGCTTGGTCAAGGCATTTTATAGCAAAATTATTATCAGTAGTGTCAGGACGCAGTGTGAAACTAACCTGAGTACTGACTTTGCTTAAAATCCAGAGGTCCTGGATTTAGCCAATTAAAACAAATCCCATTAGCTGTAAAGGTTACTCTTAGGAAGCCAGGTGTCTTTCTCCTTAAGTTTTTGTGTCAATCCTTTTCTTTTTTAACCTAGCCCGAGGCATCACCTGAAGCACGGCACATCTCTGGCTAATAAATTGAAGCTGACCTGCATGCCTTCTTGGGCGGAGGGAGTCCATGATAGTCCAGATAGGTACACAGGAAGTACAATCCCAGAGAGAATTCTTAGAAACAAAGAATTCAAGTTCAGTTACCCCAGCAAAAACATGCATTCGTCGGGTAGCCCAGGTTAGCAGAGTCCCCAGTGTGGCTTCCCACTGTGGGAACTTCAGCCCTCAGGTTCCCTGTCCAGTCTAAATAATTCAGCTAAGTTCTTTCTTTTAGAAGGTCTGCCCGAAGGCAGTTTGTTTCTGTCAGCTTGGCTCATAAATGCGGACAATATCTGGAGGTGTTCTTGGAAACTGGAGAAGCTGAGGCCACTCGCTGGTGTCTCATAGTGCTGTTGTGGGTGATCACAGGCTCAGAAGTCAGTTTGAATTCCCAGCAACACTGCTGTTCAGGAGCAGTTCTGAAAAAGAAATCATTAATGCCCTCGTTCTCTTGCATCTCCCTAGGTGCCGGGTTTTTTTTTTTTTTTTTTTTTTTTTCTTCTTTGCTATTACGCAACACTGTGATTCATTCAGAAATCATAACATTACATTTTCCCCAGCAATTTTTTATTCTTGTCTAGACCTTTTATGAGGAAGGGCAGGAAGGGTTGAGTGTAAGAGGGACAAAAGAATTTACATAGAAAATCAGTTTCATGAAACAACCAGAAAGAACACGTCGTGTTTCAGAATGGGCTAGGACAAAATCCTGAGTTTTCAAAATTTTTCAGACTGTGTTTACATTACCCCATCCCTTTTGTCCTGATCATTTATTCAGGAAGCAGCCTGGAAAAGATGAATTTCTGTCCAGGAAAAGCTGCGTTTAGCAATCAAGCTGCCTAACTAAGAAGAGAGGTGAGCAAAGAAGAGTCAGACTATCAATCCATCACTGCAAATTTCAAGATACTCTGGCAAGCTGAACGTAAGTTAATAGCAGTGGGACATCCCCAGAAGGAGTCGAGAGCTCTATGAGGAGTGGATGGAGAGGTCCCACTCCCTGTGATGTGCTCTCCCCCGGGAGGGTTCTTGTGATCAGTCATTTCTCGTGCAACTGCTTCCGTTTCAAATGGTCCTCTCAAAGAGCAAGCCCTTTCCCATAGGCAGTTGACCCATGTTATCCAGATAGCATCCAGAATGTTTTTATAGTTTACAGCCCCTCAGAGAAGTGTTGTAAGGAAACCCGCAGTCGTCCCAGAGGCTGAGTTCTGTTCCCTGAGCCTATGCCTGTCTTCAGAGAGTGAAACAGTCTCACACAGACAGTATCAAGTTTTAGCTTAGCATAAGCTCCAGGCAGTTAGGATCTATGAATTCAGGATTCCAAACTAACTAGCAACTTTTCTTTAGCAGCAGCAAAGCCGAGAAGATATAGGACCAGACAATGGTTTTCCAAGTCCAAGTTACAAGAAATGTTTTCTAAGCCCTTTTTATATTGTCAGGTTTAGAGTCCAATTGACACACTCTGAAATATGCACATTAAGCTGGAAAATCATCAGCTTCCAACAGTCAGACAGACACCTGATTTTGTAAGAAGTTATTAGCAAACTAAAAACTGCTTTTCAAAATTCAAAAGGTTTTTTTTTTCCCCAGTGGAGATGAACTCTCCTTCTATGTTGTCTACCTCTTCCCATAGGTTCCAACAGGCAAAAATTACAGCAAAAATCATCAGTTATGGAGATTTCAGAATTTAAATACTCCGAGTTTACATTGTAATTTATCTGCTAGCAACAAAACTCAGGAGGTGCATATTTTCCTAGCACTTCTTATGGAGTAGCTTTCCCTAACTGGGGTAATCCCTTAAGCATTTATAAAATTATGAGCATATAATATTTTATATCAGTTTTTCATCATCTATTCAAGGGCAATAGCCAAAAAATAAAAGCCATTTTAAAATTCTTTTTTTTTTTCATTGCAGGTTTACTCAAACTCCTAGTAGTAAAGTCATAAATTCAGCACATAGGATTTACATTATAGCTGCTGGGAGATTCCCAGTTGGAATGCAAGGAGCTGCTGTACTAGGTGATGGAATATTATTTCCTACCTCCCTTTTCTTGTTGGTTTATCTAAAGCAGGTGTCCCCAAACTTTTTACACAGGGGGCCAGTTCACTGTCCCTCAGACCGTTGGAGGGCCGCCACATACTGTGCTCCTCTCACTGACCACCAATGAAAGAGGTGCCCCTTCCTGAAGTGCGGCGGGGGGCCGGATAACATGCGGCCTGTGGGCCGTAGTTTGGGGGGACGCCTGATCTAAAGCCTTGTTCCAGCTCTTAGAACTGACTTTAACAAAAATGTTAAAAGTTTGCATTGCTTTCTCTTCCTTCCTGCTTGGAGGAGAAAGCAATGCAAACTTTTAACATTTTTGGCCCATACAAAATGTGTTTTGGGACTGTTCGGGCACTTTCTTTTCTCAGCTAGAGGGGAGAACAAAACTCAAAGGCATCAGCCAGGCTGCACTTTTTAATCTTTTCATTATAGCTACCCATGGCTGAAAGCAGCCAGGGAGTCTAATGAACCAATTGTCCAGGGGTTGGATCCATCATTTCGAATTCTATAGGTAACTTTTACCTCTCACAACGGACATCACCTCAGCAGCTAATTCACACTACAGACGGCTAGGCAGCGACTGGGCATTGAAGGTTCACCATCATGTCTTCTTCGTCCTTCCTTTTCCCAAACCCTGCTTTAGCCATATTTCAGTGATTTGGGTTGTTTTAGCAAATCCCACTTGGGATAGCAGCTGTCATCCCCAGTTTGGAGATTTGCCAGAACTCAGCATATAGTTGTACTCATGGATGAGATTTATTATATTGAAAGGCTACAAAGTAAAACTGAGAAGGAAGATGGAAAAGGCATATGGGGTGCAGTCTGGAGGAAATTAGGCACGCTCTTCCAAAATGTCCTGTTCCAGTGAAGTCCCACAGGATGTGCTTCATTCCTCCAGCAATGAGTTGTCATAACACAGAAGTCATGGACATTTGCAAAAAATAAAAATGTTAGAAGACATGTTAACCTTTGGCTATGTTTCCTTAGTAACATAAAAACTGTGATACCGTGCTCTGCAAATATTGGTCACAGTTATCAAGCCTATCTTTTTGCAGCTCAAGGAAGGATTTTCATAAGGCAAATGACCAAGAATTCCTGTTTGAAAATGCAGACTTTTCCAAGTTCTCTTGGAATACTGGCAGAATGGTGCAAAGAGCCTGGGCTTTGTTTTTCTATTCCCTGCTTCAAACTTGGCTTTGCCGCTTAGTACTAATTTCACTTTGGCAAGGGGTGATCTATTTGCATCTCAACTCCCTTATCAATAAAATATCATACAAATCTCCCAGTCACGGGGTTGTTATAAGAAAATTAGCATATATGAAATATTTGGCTCCATACCTGATGCAAAGTAGGAGTTCCATAATGTAATATTCTCTTTACCTTGGAAAAAATGCCCACTAAAAGACAGGGACAATAAAATTCACAGAAACTTTATTTATAAAAGCCGCAACTGGAAATAACCTAAATGACAGCCTAAAATGACCATCACTTAATAAACTGAATTTTTAAAAAATGTTGGCGTGTTGATGCAATGCAATACTATACACAGTATTGACTACTGTTACTGCAAAAACGTGACTCTATCTCACTGACATAATGTTGAATAACACAGGATAATGCATTCTGTATAATGCCACTGAAAGTAACTTCAGAAACAGGCAAATGGATCTATGGTGACAGAGATCATTAATGGTAACCTTTTGAAGGGAGTATGGATTGGAAGAGGGATAGATGGAGCCAGTGGGGGTGCTGCAAATGGTCTATGTCTTTACCCGCGTGCTGCTGGTAACACAGGGGTTACTGCCCTGTGGTACATATATAAAAATTCATCAAGTTGTGCACTTACGGTTTGTACCTTTTACATGTACTTGTATATTATTTACGTTTGTACATGTATAAGTAATACCTCAATTTAAAAAACTACTCTTTTTGATCCAGGAGCTGGATTTTATATCAGTATCATTTTATTAGGAGAGTATCTAGGTCTAGATAAGACTTGGCAGCAGCTGGCTACCTTGCAAGCTATGGTCAGTCTGTTCCTTGTATGTGGCCCCATTTCAGAGCTTGCCTGGAGCTGACAGGCATATTGTGAGGGTCATGCTCCATCATCATTGACAGCTGGAGATGCCATCACATGCCATTGGCAGCAAAGCACAGGGAAAACCAGGCAGTGGACTCTGCTTCCCACCCTTAGGCTGCGAGGCACAAACCCAGCAATGGAAGGATTAGAAAGCCTCTCAATTTAAAAAGACAAGGGGGAGGGGAATGTGGGCTGCACAATTTATAAATAGACATTGCCCAAGGCTGCCTGATGATGAAGTGGTTGTTTAGTAAATCTTTCTCCTTTAAGGATGCCAGCACCGGAGACCATTTTAAAATACCAGTTTCATTTTGTCTTTTGGGGGAGATCCTGGGTTTCATTGCCAGCCCTGTTGGGTGATATTTCCTTCTGTTAGATTTAGGAACAGGCCTTCAATATTTGGCATCACCTTTACATGGAGCACAAAGATGATGATGATGATGATGTGTCTTTTGCCAAATGGATGAGCAGCTTCTGGGGCCACAGCTGGAGAGAAGAGGATCAGAGAGGACTCCGGGAACGCCACCGACCGCAAGCCACCAGTCACAGGAAAACCTCCCTGCCCTGCCCAGTGAGTGACTGTCATGGACCGGAGGGGAGAGCTGGAGCAGGGGAGGGGGTTTCTCTTAGGGCATTTTTTTTGAGAAATGTGGATATAAAGTTTTCTTTGGTTTAAAACCACTACTTCTGGGTCTTTCTCATACCCACAGAAATCCCTCTTATTAATTCATCTTGTCTTTCAAGGGACCTGATTTTCATCTAATGGGTAGTGATTTCTTTGTTTTTAGTTATCTAAGATACCTTTAACCAGTCTCCAGAGCTCCTGATAAGCCTGAGATAATCCCACAGAGTAACACAATTTAAGCCAAAGGAAAGAAACTTGATGCTATACTTCGTCTGTGTCGCCTTGTGGCTCCATGTGTGATTTCCATTTGAAATACTGAAAATTGTTCCACTCTTTGGCAGGCCTCTAAGGAACTGGGGATCCCCATAACAAGTCACTACCTTTGATAAATCTGACATACTTGTTTTCCTTTCAGGGAGCCCATTTGCTTTCCTGATGGGAGAGGGAGCTAAAAGTCTCCTGCCCTCAGCACTCTTATGGCTAGGCAGAGCGCCTGAGAACTGGGGAACAAGATACCAGCAGGAAAGCCCCCAAGAGGGGAATGGTTGGGCTTGACCAGCTGCGGACACGGTGACAGGTCCAGGCAGCTCTTATCTCTGTTCTATTTTGATGCTGGAAGACTCCACGTATGTCCTCTGCTTCACGGTTACACAGCAATAATACAGCTTTTCTTTTTTCTAAGTCACATTAAATGCCAGCTACCAGATGATACTTTCCCAATCCCCTGCTGTTGTCAACTCCAGAACCAAGTAAGTTTTGGGGTAATACTATTTTATTTTTAACTTCATCCTTCGAAGACACATTATGTCTGTAAGATATATAAGAGTGTGTAAGGCAACCTCTATGACTCCTGGTGATCAGCAAGTTTGAGGAATTAGAATTCTCTGAGACCCAAATATGTCAAAATAGATCCCTTGCCAAATGCATACTCAGGGACAAAGGGCAATCTTCAACACTTCTTTCAACTTCAGTTTCCTTAAGTGAAAAAGAGGGGTGTTGGGCTGAGCGATCTCTAAGAACCCTTCTACCTCTAACTTCCTGTGTCTGTGATAAACATCTGCTCATCACCTCTCATTTTAATTTATGTTCCACATTGAGTGACATATCCAGGCTGTGTGAACCAGGAGTATGATTAGTGTCCAGTTTCCAGATGTGAGAACAGGGATAAACAAAAACAAACACCGCGATTTACTATTCATTACATTGGCTTCTTAGAGCCACAGGAAATATGAAAACAAAGGAACAAACATGGTTTACTCGTTCCTTGAATAAACTTTTGCATCTATGGGGCTTTTAAAACAGAGATAGTTACCCTATTTACAGAGTTCACTTTCAGTTGCGATGTTGTTTGCCTTAATCTAGATGGAATCACAGCATCTATAGTGTATAACACTTGTAAATTGTGTCCGTCTGACATCTTTATCTGCTTATCCCTGCTTCAGGCATTTGCCTGAATTAACCTGCTTTCTATCTCTAAAATGTACTCAAATATTCTGACTTTCAGCCCAGTGCTGTGGTTCACACCTGGAATCACAGCACTTTGCGGGGCCAAGGTGGGAGGATCCCTTGAACTAAGGAGTTTGAGACCAGCCTGGGCAACATAGTGAGCCTCTATCTCTATAAATACATACATACACACACAAAATAGCAGGGTGTGGTAGTGCTTCCATAGTGACAGCTACTTGGAAGGCGCTTGAGCACAAGAGGTTAAGGCTGCAGTGAACTGTGATTAAACCGCTGCTCTCCAACCTGGGTGACAGAATGAGACGTTGTCTGAAATATATACATATATATTCTTACTTTAAGGAACAATTTGGTTTTCAATTTTGTGTCTGCTTTGAGGTAATGAACATACCTTAAAAAGAAAAGCTTACTCTTATCCTGACTTTTTTCCTCTCTCCCAACTGCTCTAATCTGAGGCCCTTCCCTCTCTCAACCTTTTAATCATCTATATCCATCAATATTACATTCAGTATTATACACATAGGAAGAGAAGAGCATCCCTCCCCTTGCCTACTTTGAATGTAGTTTCTTTTTTTCCGCGCTTCTCCTTGAATGTAGGTTCTAACACATCTTCATCAGTCTCATGGTTCATACAAAACCGCAGTGCTGGAACATGAATTTATTTAATGTATTTATTGAACACTTACTGTAAGCCAAGCATTGTCCCAGGCTCACAGGGCGAAAGAAGACATGCCCAGTCCCCACACCCGTGAACTGTCAGTCTAGTAGAGAACACGAATTTGGCAGAAAGAACACGGTATAACAAAGGGTAAAGCTTAGGCCTTTTTCTAGAACATACTTTTCCCCCAGACTCACAAGAACCTGCGATTGCTGAATTAAAGTGAATAAAGAAATCTGACATTAGGGCTGGGCGCGGTGGCTCATGCCTGTAATCTCAGCACTTTGGGGGGCCGAGACGGGTGGATCACAACGTCAAGAGATCGAGACCATCCTCGTCAACATGGTGAAACCCCATCTCTACTAAAAATACAAAAATTAGCTGGGCATGGTGGCGCCTGCCTGTAATCCCAGCTACTTGGGAGGCTGAGGCAGGAGAATTGCCGGAACCCAGGAGTTGGAGGTTTCGGTGAGCCGAGATCGCGCCATTGCACTCCAGCCTGGGTAATAAGAGCGAAACTCCGTCTCAAAAAAAAAAAAAAAAAAAGAAATCTGACATTATTTTTCTGTTGTCCTTGGTGAAAAAAACGTAATATGAAATCTCTCTTTTTATTGAACTGGTTTGCCTTCTCTCGCCAACGTCATGTGAATACAAAACTGAAGTAGAACAGTTTCCTGTCATTTGTTTATTCTGTGGAAGTGCCTTTTTAATACTTTCAGTCCGTGTTGCTTTCTAGTCATCACCTCCTTCATCTTAACATGGTTCTCTTAACATTGTTCTATGTCGCCTGGGCCTCGTGGAGGGGAAGATTGCACTAAATGAAAGCTCTTTTGGAGGAGAAACTGAGTTTATTGGCCCAGGGCTTTTATAACTCCAGATGGACTTGACGGAGTTTCTTCTACGCTCTAGGGCAGACACCATATGTACTGCTCACATGATATAATTTGAGGGATATAGAATAAGCCTCTGCTGGTGTATACCCAATATTTTTTCTTTTTCTTTTTTTTTCTTTTTAAAGTTCTGGGATACATGTGTAGAACGTGCAGGTTCGTTGCATAGGTATACATGTACCACGGTGGTTTGCTGCAACTATCAACCTGTCATTTAGGTTTTAAGCCTTTCATGCATTAGGTATTTGTCCTAATGCTCTCCCTCCCCTTGCGTCTCACCCTCCAATGGGCCCCAGTGTGTGATGTTCCCCTCCCTGTGTCCACGTGTTCTCATTGTTCAACTCCTACTTGTGAGTGAGAACATGTGGTGTTTGGTTTTCTATTCTTGTGTTAGTTTGCTGAGAATGATGGCTTCCAGCTTCATCCATGTCCCTGCAAAGGATGGGACCTCATTCTTTTTTATGGCTGCATAGTATTCTGTGGTGTATATATGCCACATTTTCTTTATCCAGTCTATCACTGATGGGCATTTGGATTGGTTCCATTTCTTTGCCATTGTAAATAGTGCTGCAGTAAACATACGTATGCATGCATCTTTATAGTGGAATGATTTATATTTTGGGGGGTATATACCCACTCCTGGGATTGTTTGGTCAAATGATATTTCTGGTTCTAAATCCTTGAGGAATCACCAGACCATCTTCCACAATGGCTGAACATTTAATTTACATTCCCACCAACAGTGTAAAAGAGTTCCTATTTCTCCACATCCTCTCCAGCATCTGTTGTTTCCTGACTTTTTAATGATCATCATTCTAACTGGCGTGAGATGGTATCTCACTGTGGTTTTGATTTGCATTTCTCTAATCAGCAGTGTTGAGCTTTTTTCTGTATGTTTGTTTGGCAGCATAAACGTCTTTTGAGAAGTTTCTGTTCATATCATTTGCCCAGTTTTTGATGGTGGTGTTTTTTTTTTTTTTCTTGTAAATTTGTTTAAGTTCATTGCAGACTCTAGATATTAGACTTTTGTCAGATGGCTAGATTGTAAACATTTCCTCCCATTCTGTATGTTGCCTATTCACTCTGATCCTAGTTTCTTTTGCTGTGCAGAAGCTCTTTAGTTTAATTAGATTCAATCTGTCAATTTTGGTTTTGTTGTAATTGCTTTTGGTGTTTTCATCATGAAGTCTTTGCCCTTACCTATGTCCTTAATGGTACTGCCTGGGTTTTCTTCTAGGGTTGTTACGGTTTTGGGTTTTACATTTAAGTCTTTAATCCACCATGAGTTAACTTTTGTATAAGGTGTAAGGAAGGGGTCCAGTTTCAGTTTTCTGCATATGGCTGTCCAGTTTTCCCAGAACCATTTATGGAATCCATTCCTGTTGCTTGTTTCTGTCAGATTTGCCAAAGATCAGATGGTTGTAGATGTGTGGACTTATTTCTGAGGTCTCTATTCTGTTCTATTGGTCTATATGTCTGTTTTGGTACCTGTACCATGCTGTTTTGGTTACCGTAGCCTCGTAATATAGTTTGAAGTCAGGTAGGATGATGCCTTTTTCTTTCTTTCTTTCTCTTTTTCTCTTTCTTTCTTTTGATGCCTCTTTTTTTTTCTTTCTCTCTCTCTTTCTCTCTTTCTTTCTTCTCATTCTATTGCCCAGGCTGGAGTGTGATGGTGAGATCTCAGCTCACTGCAACCTTCGCCTCCCAGATTCAAGTGACTCTCCTGCCTCAGCCTCCTGAGTAATCAAAATTTCAGGCATGCACCACCGCACCTGGCTGATTTTTGTACTTTTAGTAGAGACAGGGTTTCACCATGTTGGCCAGGCTGGTCTCAAACTCCTGACCTCAGGAGATCTGCCTGCCTTGGCCTCCCAAAATGCTGTGATTATAGGCATGAGCCACTGCACCTGGCCCTCTTTTTTTAAAAAAATTAC